GCTAGTGCCAATGTCCCATTGGAACAGCTCCTTCGTTCCCCAGCGCTGGTGCCAATGTCCCACTGGAACAGCTCCCTCCTCCCCCAGCACTGGTGCCAATGTCCCATGAATTTGAACCCATTTCTCCCACACTAATGTTTCAACCATGCGTTTACCTCTTCAATTTTGTTGACCATGTGTCAATTAGCTCATGGCTCAGGTAGTAATCCAGAGATTATCACCTTTTTTATTCTGCTTCTTGATTTAGCCCTTAGCTGCTCATAATTGCTCAGCAGAACCACTTTCCTCTTTCAATCTATATATTAGTATCTACATGGACCAGGAAAACTGGATCTTTCCCCTCCCACTCCAGAACAGAGTGGTGTCACTGGCCACACCAGCTGCACATGTGGCTAATACCCTCGTGACAGACAGCAGTCTGGGACCTCCTCTTTTCTTTTATATTCCCATGTTCTGTTCAAAGTGGCCAAATGCTGGGTATTGATGCATCAGGTTTCCTGTGTCAGATGATGGGCTGAATAGGACGACCCCCATAATTCCTGCTGATGAAATTAGCAGGATAAGGGACAATGTAGTCACCAGGCAGTCTTCTGTCTATTTCACATCGTGAGGGCTGGTTTGGGAATATGTGTGCAGGTCCTACCACTTTCCAACACAACAAGCAGCACCACTGAAAGAGAATCCTAGCTTAATCCACTGAGCTTCACTCACCAATAAATATTGAAAATAAAAATCATTACAAATCAGATAAATGTTTAATATCAAATTTCTGTGTTTATTGAGGGCAGTGGGTTAATGAACAGACATCCATTCATTCCATCAGGTTGTAAGAATCGTTGGTCTGTTTCACACTGATTTGATCTGGTTCCAGTTATTAACATTAAAAAGAAACACTGAGGAATGGAAAGAACATTCAATATTGTTAGGTTTATTTGTAAACAGTTAAGTTGGAATGAACATGTATTGCAGCACTGAGTCAGTCCTTGCCTGTACAATGACTAATAAAGAGGCCACTGAGGGATTTTCTGCAAATTTTGCCCAAGAAACTGCAAGAATACAAGTGATCAAGTTCATTATTGGAATGGTATCTTCTTCCCAAGTCCCTGTCCTCTCATTGAAGTTGCTGAAAGGATGACCTCTGCTAAAATAAAACCAAGAAAATGATATTTAAAATGACAGTGAGACAGGATTTGGTCGGAGTTGATCAGGCTGGGAGGTTTTGGGAATTTATTGTTTAGGGTCTGTGTGTGTTAGATCAGTGACTGTGGTCAGTCTGAGGGTCACATGATTATTGTGGTACATGTGTATTTGAATAGGATTGCTTTGGCTGTGGTCTGTCAATTTGTGTTTACACTGTTGTTATGTACAAGATCATGAATGTATTCTGTGACTGTAACAATTGTTTCCAAAATGATATTAGGCTAGATCTTTCTGTGTAAGAGTGTCTGGTCTGACAGTGATAGATGTGTGTGTTTGTGTGTGTGTGTGTATCCAAAACTAGGTCTGTGTGTCTGCACTGTTAGTGTTCGGATGCATCACATAGATATACTTTTGAACTGGGGAGGGTGAGCATTTCTAGTGTCACTTTAGGTCTATGTATGGATGATCCACCTGAGACAAATACCTGACTGAGTGCTGGCCACTCATGGATAGGTTTGTGCGATGGTAAAAATCAGTGCATGTGAACTGACTGTGATCAATGTTTGGGTTCAGGCACCACTTAAGATCTATGTAGGATTATGGGTCTTAACTCTGAATAGATTCTGAATGCCCTGAATGTGGTTAGTGCTGGAACAAGTTGATGGAGTGCGATCTGTTTTGGGATGTATTCACCGTCTGCTCCAGCTGTGGTTTCCCTTCACTATGTTCACCCTCACTGGAGTTGATCTCGCTTCTGAGAAACTGAATCTAATTAATGTGGAGGTGATTGCAGTTAGATTTTGGTGTGTGCATTACCTCTAATTGAAATTAGAATGATCGCACACATTTTCATCAGTCTTAGAATGCGTATTCCAGTTCTGATCAAAGTGCCAATGGGGTTTACTATTTGCAGTAATATTGTGAATACATTGATTATGATCATTACTCAGAACATGTGCACATTAACCTCTCAATCCCAGGGAATGGACATTGACTGATTGATGCTGCAGCTTGGGTATATGTCACTTATTGACTGAGAAAGATATAAACAGACAGTGACTGATGGTGATGTATGTACACAGATTGATGTTGGGGGGTGTGCACTGACTGCGATAAATGTTGAACATTGATACATATTTATTTCAGATAAGTGCCCAATGGTTTTTGTTGGTTACTCGTGATATCATCGGTGTTATTTGGATGCAGGATGATAAAGAATGTGCAGTTTGACTATTGCTGGGTGTACATGTTCTGTTTGACATTGGGAGCTTGCATTGTTATCGATATTGATTGTGATCACAAAGATTTCCTTTTGGGGAACTCATCCCAATCATTATTAAATTTGTGTAATGTAGTCTTAATTGGTATCAGCACCATGATCAGTAATGGGTGTATGCACTCTGATCAGTATTAAGTGTGTGAACTGTGTTTAGCATCAGGTACCCGACGATCAGTGTGGGATGCATGCACTGACTGTGATAATCTGTTGTGCCTTGACTGTGCTTTCTCTCTTTTTTTAATCACAGTGTGATTTACACAAAAATAATATAAAGTTCACACTATTATTTAAATATACAAATAAAAATCAAGAGAAGTGAATACAAGACAATAACATCAGAATTTGTCTGTATATATATATTATATATAGATATAGCATAGGTCAATCATACACAATAGTAGAAAATATTTAAAAGCCTTCACTTACTTTTCAATAGGTTTGGAGCTAACAGCCTCTATTGAAATTACATTGCACAGATTCTGTTCAAACCAAGGGGAGATTTTCTAGTGTTGGAACCAATTGCTTGAGGAGAGTCCAAGTCCTCCGAGTGTTACCATACCAGCTGGATTGGAGTGATCCCCCCTGGGGAGAGAATCAGCCCACATGGGGTCCATTATAGGGGCAGTTATATAAATACCCAATATTCCCTCAGGCCCAGTTGATCCAATATACTTGGGTGCAGGTTTGGAAAATCTCTCCTACATCGCTTCATGGAGTTATAAGCACCAAAAATCTCATCTTGACGGTTTGGTCTTCTAAGAATTTGATCCCTAATGCTCTGCGTGTTGATAAAGTTTCCTTTTTTTAAAAAAAACTCTTATCAATAGCTGCAGCTTACATGGGGCCGGAAGGCTGGAGAGGGGCTGGGTTGTATAGTACACAATGACGATACAGACCACCAAACTTTACTGGCGCTTGCATAGGAAAGTAAGTGGTCTTCCTTGAAGGGAAGTCTGCAGGTCAGAATGGGACCCTGTTCAATTATATCAACAACTAGCATGTAAATTTCTGTATCCCCTGTCATCTTCCCTTGTTTTAGAAACTGATTAGAAAAGTGCTTGTAGAACAAAGTGTTTTGAGTTGGCCAAGAAGATATCATCAGTGCTTTCTGGGCACCAGCACTGATGGTCTGTTGATAAAGGACATGTTTGTTACACATAACCCCCACACAGAGGGGGAATGTTCCCCTGGGGTGGTGTAGAATAGAGCTGCCCTTGACCACCCAGCTCCTTCCATGCCGACCTCTGATTGATTGCAATTTCTTGAAAGTGGACGATAAAACTAATTATATTAAAATCCATTCACATAACAGCACAGCTGTTTAATGATTATTCTGACAGTGTTAAACAATTCCCAGCAGGCAGCAAGGACTCAGGTGCTGCCTCTCTGGCTGATCTGCCTGTTCATTGAGCCTCTTTCATGTGATGTGATGTGTTGGCTCCAGTCACAGTGAACCAGGGTCTCCTCAAGGCAAACTCAGTCATTGATGCCGAATTTGGCCAGGTGGGCTGACCGATGGGGATGGCAAAGGTCGCAACGGTCATTCTCGGAAATGACCCTTTGAGGGGTCCTGTGGTGGTCAGAGGTCGAAACCTTGGGGGAAGCATGTTTCACAGAGGACTTTTGTCAGATCGCTGTGTCCCACAGAACAGTTTGCTGTTTGGTACAGGGAGGTGCTGCCGGTTTCAGGTTCTTTGTAACGTTGTTTTTCTTCCAGCTGGGAAGGATGGGCATGCTGTCTTGTTTACAAAGGCCTTTATCTGGCTTCTGTCGGGACTTAATCTCTTTGCACAGACATCGCTTCTTCTCAATCATTTCAAGTATTGTGTTGTCTCCATAGAACCATTGCTGATACAATGCCTGGTTAAAAAGAGGGGAGAAAGACAAGAGGAAACAAAAGCATAAATCCTGCTGCTTGCTTCAGAGGTTTAACGACAAAGGATTCTCTTTGACTTTCCGATTGTTTTTCATGTGACAGCAGCGGTTCACATCAATAACATACAGTTCAGCATAACAGGGGCAGCCTGAAGCACGCACTCTGTTTATTCATCAGATAGTTGCTATGAAACAAAACCACTCGGTGTTAATGGAGGTGACCTTGAGCCTCTGCTTATTAAAATACCCCTTACAACAGATCTTAAGGGCAAATTAATCCCCTATAATCAATAAATTCTAACATAGTGTAAGCCCGGTAAATGATTATTGTTGCCGGTTTACTAATGATATCATTTAACAAAAATAGATGTGCATTGATGCTTTCTTCTCCATAACAGCAAGCTGGAGTGCTTGGTTACTAATCTGATGCACTATTTTATTCCCATTTCTCTGAAGGGAAGGCACAATGATGAAGACCCTGTTCTCTGAGTGGCAGGGCAGCAATCCATTGATTGGGTCAGGTGATAAATACATGCAGCATTTCATGACAAACACATGCTCCATACAGGTAAATACCGCAAGATGCAGCCCATAAAACATGTCAAATATGATCAGCAGGTGTCTTAAGGCAAGCAGACAGAAGCTCACACTAAATCCCAGTGATAGCTGCATGCAGATTATCATGCTGAGTTAGGTCAAACCAGTTTGAATTCAATGACAAATGCATGGGGAGTGTTGGTGAAGCTTACTGAGTCAGGAAGAACTTCATAGGGTAAAAGTTCAAGTTAGATGTAACCTTCACTGTCAGTGCCAAACTCCCCCAGGAGGTAAAACCATTTGTCTGAATTGATCTGAGGTGGCCTTTTTATGAGAGCACAGTCCCTGGCTGACTCCTCAGATACAATCAGTGGGCTCACAGCTGCCAGAATAAGGACAAATCCTAAAGGGGCATCAATATCATATTCAGACCTGTCCTGGGCAGATGTTCAGATCCTCTTCCTAATTATCAACAAAACCTATATGTTTCAGAGGGATGGAGAAACCCTACAAATCAAGCACCTTTCTGGGAGAAACCAGTGGGGGCTCTGGAAAGAGTGTGGTTTTTAAAAGCTGGCAGTACTTTTTGTTTGTGGCAAAATGAGCAGAAGTGAGCAATGAAACAGTGGGAAACTAATGACACTGCATTTGCTCACAGAGACTCCAATCAAATCAGCTCATTCCAAATGCAAAACCCCATCCTGAGAATTGTTCTTACACTTTGCAGCATTCCTCCGAACTGGGGTCTCCACAACTGAAGTCCTGCTTAGTCCCAAGCCCTTATTTACATATTACAGACCCCCCCCTCAAATGATTGCAGCTAAGCTGAAAGGTGCATGCTCTTTGACCTGCAGCTATTCCCTGGTCAGAATGTTGGAACAGTGTACACCCGGAACTCAACATGAGGAGGGACCATCTCCATCATCATTAGTGATTGATTAGGAACCTTATCATACTCCTTTTAAAAGGTGGTACACAGTTTTCATCTTCACTGCTGGGGGACTGATGTGTGGAGAGGATTTGACTGTTTTTGCTCGAACTCACCCCAATTATTTCAATGAAACTGGAAAAAGGAGGTGGAACCATGGGTTGCTGGGCTGTGTAACGAGTGGCTCATTTCACTTTGATGCTCTTTGGTGGAAAATTAAAATTTTACCCAAAAATTCTGCTAAAGGTCCCAGTTTTGCATGCATTTTGCCTTTGTAGTATATTTTAATGAGGTAACATGGGGCTGAATTTAAGGTCCACCCATGGGCAAGGACGCAGAGAGTTGGGTGCGTTTTCTAGGCCACTGCCACATTCACAGCCGAATACCAGGCCACTCATTCCCACCTTGGATTGTTTTAAGGGCAAAGGGCTGTGCATAAACCCTCGGTACGCAAACACCAAGTGTCACTACACACTGAGGCTCTCCCTGGCCCCAGTGTTGCGGAGGGTAGGACTGGCCATCGAATGCTCCAAGTAGTTGGACTGTTCTGTATGACCTGTCCTTTGTGGAGAAATTTGCAAAGAAAAACACCTTAAAGCACAAGACCATCAGGCAGTCGTCAGCATGCAGTGTGCTCGAGACCCTGAGGGAAAAGGACAGGGTGGATCCTGTTGCATGGGTCCCTGAGCAGACTGTCAAAGTCATTTTGCAAATGCCTCATTGCCAGAAACTGCCCTACAAGCACCAAGACCCATCGCTTGGCTGGTGGTGAGAAGGGCAATGTCTGTGAGATCTTTTATGTACGCCTGGACAGTCTGCAACACCCCATCCTAGAAGTGGCTGCAGGGGAGGGGTTGAGACTCTCACACATCTCCTTCTGGAATGTGCCTTTGTATAGGAAATCTGGAGAAAGGCTGCAGTGGTTTTTATTGAGGTTTGTCCTGAGTAGCTCCATGATGTGGGACTCTGTGCGCTATGGTCTGTTCCCCAGGACACACACCAGGAGAAACATCAACTACACCTGGAGGACCATCAACTCGGTGAAAGACACTTTTTGGTCTGCCCAAAGCTTGTTCATCTTCCAGAGCAAGGAGTTGACCCTGAGTGAGCATTGCAGAGTGGCATATTCCAAAGTCCAGGACTACATTGTTTTTTTTCTTTATTTCATTCATAGGATGAGGGTGTCACTGACCAGGCAGCATTTATTGCCCATCCCTAATTACTCAGAGGAAATAATGAGTCAACCACATTGCTGTGGGTCTGGACTCACATGTAGACCAGACCAGGTAAGGATGGCAGTTGCCTTCCCTAAAGGACATTAGTGAACCAGATGGGTTTTTCCAACAATCGACAATGGATTCACAGTCATCATTAGACTCTTAATTCTAGATATTTATCGAATTCAAATTCCACCATCTGCCATGGCAGGATTTGAACCCAGGTCCCCAGAAAATTATCTGGGTCTCTGGATTAATATTCCAGCGATAATACCACTAGGCCATCGCCTCCCCCACATGCTGAGGGATGCACTAAAGCTTGGGGCAGCTGCTGCTGAGGTGCAGTGGGGGAAGATCACTGTCTGAGGTCTTCCTGCTGAAGGTAAATGTGGGTCCGTTCAGATATCGAACTCTCCCGGTGCCTCAATGTAAGTAAATACCATCCTGCATGAGTAAGAAGTGGCTTGGGATTTGGGATGGCAAGTACTAATGTTTGTTTGCTCTTCATCTGCAAAGACTATACAACACTGCTTTAGTATCTGTGTATGTACACAAAGATCATTTTCATGAATAAAATATATTTTTGCAATAAAAAAGGGCAAGGGTGGGGCACAGAGATGGGGCAGGTCTCCCTCGCCGTAGCTCAATGGAGACCCTCTGACAAGGTGCCGCATAGGAGGCTGCCAAATAAGGTAGGAGCCCATGGTGTTAGGGGCAAGGTACTGGCATTGATTGAGGATTGGCTGACTGACAGAAAGCAGAGAGGAGGGATAAAGGGGTCTTTTTCAGGATGGCAGCCAGTGACTAGTGGAGTTCCACAGGGGTTAGTGTTGGGACCATAACTGTTCGCATTGTACATGAACCAGCTGGATGCAGGATCTGACAGCATTGTCGCTAAGTCTGCAGGTGACACAAATAGGTGGAGGGACAGGTAGTGTTGAGGAGGCGAGGAGTCTGAAGTAGGACTCGGACAGGCTAGGAGAGTAGGCAAAGAACTGGCTGATGGAATACAATGAGATAAAGTGTGAAGAAATGTACCTTGGCAAGAAGAATAGACGCATAGACTATTTTCTACATGGGATAAGGCTTCAGAAATCTCAAGCACAAAGAGATTTCAAAATCCTAGCTCATGATTCTCCTCAGGTTAACATGCAAGTTCAGTTGGACGTTAGGAAGGCAAAGGAATGTCAACATTCATGTCCAGAGGGCTAGAATACAAGAATAGGGATGTACTGCTGAGGCTGTATGAGGCTCTGGTCAGACCACATTTGGAATACTGTGGGCAGTTTTGGGTCTCGTATCTAAGGAAGAATGGCATTGGAGGGGGTCCAGAAGAAGTTTACAAGAATGATACCACGGATGAAAGGCTTCTCATATGAGCAGCAGTTGAGGACTTGGGTCTGTACTCAATGGAGTTTGGAAGGATGAGAGGGATCTGATTGAAACTAACAGAATAGTGAGAGGCTGGATAGAATGGACATGGAGAAGATGGTTCCATCAGCAGGAGAGACTAGGGCCCAAGGGCACAGACTCAATGTGAAGGGATGACCCTTTTAGAACTGAGATGAGGAGGAATTTCTTCAGTCAGATGGTGGTGACTCTGGAACACATTGCTGCAGAGGGATGTGGAGGCCAAGTCATTGAGTGCATTTAAGACACAGATAGATAGGTTCTGAGGAAGGGTCACCGGACCCGAAACATTAACTCTGTTTTCTCCATCACAGATGCTGCCAGACCTGCTGAGCTTTTCCAGCAATTTCTGTTTTTGTTCCTGATATACAGCATCTGCAGTTCTTTCGGTTTTTATTTTAGGTAGGTTCTTGATTAGTAAGGGGATGAACAGTTACTTGGAGAAAGCAGGACAATGGAGTTAAGAAACAGAGCAGCCATGATTGGATGGCAGAGCATACTTGATGTTTCAATGTAACAGATAGTGGGAGGGTCCTGCGCCATTGGTAGCTAGGAAGATGTTAGTTTTTATGCAGAAGATAGGGTGGGGCGTGGGGATAAGGAGTAAATGATAGGTGGGGATAGAGTCCAAAGAGAGAGAAGAACTCTAATTTCTCTCCCCAGATGCAGCCAGACCTGCTGAGATTTTCCAGCAATTTCTGTTTCTACTCTAAAATATATATCCAGCTCTCTTTTGAAACCTCCCACGGGAATTACCTCCACTACTCTCTCAGGCAGCACATTCCAATTCCTAACAACTCTGAGTAAAGAAGTTTCTCCTCATCTCTCTCTAGCTCTCTTGCTGACAATCCTGAAATTGTGATCCCTAGTTACTTGACATA